TATATAATATATGTAGTTAATGTGATCAAAAGGTTAGATAACTATAGCTCCTCTTCATCAGTCGTTAGCTGTTTAGTTATCGGGCTGGTTATTAGCTTGACAGCTTTAAAGGACCAGTGTGGAGGATTCAGTGGCGTCTAGTGGTGAAGTTGCAGACTGAAACTAACTGAACACCACTCGCGTCTGTATTTGCGGACGTAGGGAAGGAGAGCGAGCTGTGTGTAAAGAGAAAACAGCGGCGACAACATGGGGGACTGCACGGAAGACGGCTCGTTGTAAGATAAAAATAATTAAGAGTTTCTTATATTCAGGTGATTAAACATTAACGAAAACATTCCTATAAATATTATATTCAATTTCTGCCAATAGATCCTCCTGAATGTTACACACTGGACCTTTAACCATCTTTAAAACTCGGCGAGCCCCGCAGGTAGAGTTTCAAATACAAGACGGGAGAAGTTGACCGAGGTTCAAGGTCTTACATTTGGTGGACAAACTGCAGAACAGTGACACTTGAAAACATATATTTGATCTTTCTGCACTTCTTTTTCTTGTCATTTATCAGCTGACTTATACACTGATACAGATATATAGGTATTAATCGATTGGGCACTAGCACGTACACTATACGATCAAAGTATGTGTCCATCTCCCAAAGGACTCACAACACTGTTACGCACTCCTTTTTTGATTTTTCTTTCCCTTTATTACAATAAAAAAGTGATATTTCGGCCGTTAGAGGAATTAAAACCATCAACGCCGCAGATAAAAGTATTTTGAGTCCTTCGGGAGGTACAGTTACAGTTGTTTTGTACTCCTCCTGCAACAACAACATTATTTCTACGTGTTATTGATCTCGCATACAAACCCAGTTGGCTACATGTGGTGATATTTGTGTCGTAGCCCCGCTGCCCATGGAAGACATCGCGAGAATGGCTGACGAGTGCATGAGGGACGTGGACGAGGATGAAGATAACAGTGACCTGGACGACGATGAAGATCTATTGGTTGGCGTTTATTTATCTTTGTCCTCATACCAGAGTTTAAATGTTTAAATTTGATCAGACACATGTTTTAAATACAATTTGAGTAGCTGTACAAACCCAAAAGCAGCCAACCAAAGCCAAACACACTCACTGTGAGCCTGTGACGTCAGGTTTTACATTTATACAAGTACTTATTGGTCTGAAATAACAAAAGAGTGGTGCAGAACTACTTTGTAAATTAAAATTAAATCTCTTCTGTAACTAACTCATAATAATCTTCGACGCACATGAACTCAGAGCAGAGTTGGATCCGGACTGAGCGTTCAGAGTGAGCTGCTGCCGTCTGATCAAATATTTACAGAGGCCTGTTACGACAGCATTACAGTAGTAGTCAAGCTTACTAAATATAAAAAGCCCTTTAATTCTTTAATAATTCCAGGCACTGATCCTCCACTCAACCTAGTTAAAGCTGCTGTTGGCAACTTTTATAAATAATTACTTTTTGTCATATTTACTGACACTTTCACTAAATCCTGTGAGTACGAGACAGATAATCTGGTTCCTCCTTCTGCTCCTATTTGGTAATTTTAAGAATTCAACCTCGTCTGAACGACAACCAATCACCAATCAGAGACACCAAAACCGTCATTTATGATAACCAGAAGAGGTCCACCTGATTACTGGCTCACTTCAAGACCCAAAAGTGTTAGAAATGTAAAGATAGAGACAGTTAAATCAGTGAGATGAAAAATGAATCGTGATATTAAAGCGGTATCAAAGACATCGGTTTAACTTTTACAAAGAAAAGGAAATGTGCATTGTTTTGCACAGTTTACACCCGAACTCATAAATAAATAAATATTCTTAACATTTTATAAAGAAAATATATTTAGTAGATTATTGTCTGAGGAATAAATGTGTCTTCAATCTTATTAAAGTTTTAAAAAACTGTATCGTAAGTTTAGTGAATCGTTACATTCCCAAAAAGCATCTCGATCTGACCTGGTTGTGTGTTCTGTGTGCAATAATGCTGAAGAAATACCTTTCACAATACACACATTTACAGATTAATTAGTCTATTAATGGCACATTTCAGTCTACAGAACTTTTGCTTGTCAGACACACTTTCACCGAACCGTCTAACGGAAAACTCGTCTCCCACTCTGTACTTCTGAAATCCAGCATCGCGTATAAATAATCGAAGTTGGCTGTTGATCAGTTGCTGTATTTTTCCCCCCATCAGGCAGAGCTACAGGAAGTGGTGGGTGAGGAGGAAGCTGAGGATGCTGTAACTGTTTCTTCCCCGTCCTCTGCTGCCACTGCTGAATCTCCTCAAGCTGAGTCCCGGCCGCCGCCACCGCCGCCGCAGGTACAATGCATGTCGCTCTCATGTCGTTTAGTTGTTGCCGGTGACAGGAAAGGGCAGACGTGTTTGTTAGGCTCGCTGGTTTACAAAATGAACTGCCTATTTTTTATCTGATTTTAATTTTGGTTTAACTTCATCTCTAACAATAGTTGTTTACCTGATAATGTGACTGGTAGAATAGATGCACTTGAGGTAAGTCTGTGCTGTCCTGCAAACACATTTCCTGCTACTTTCCCTTATGTGGGTTTCAGCGTACTTAAAATACTTTGTCTAGTATTTCAAACAAGTGATGAAAAAGTTAGATTTAGATGTGTATAAACTGCAATCAGTCTTTTATTTCTTCCTGTAGTTTATCTTTGACAAGTCCTTTAAGCTTTTGTGTTAGTGTTTGTGTTAGTGTAGAGTCCCCAGCTGTTTTCAGACAATGACAGTACCTGCCTGTTGTTTTGGCCAAGCAGCAGGAAGTAAAGGTCTCCTCAGCAGCGCCCGGCAGCCTCCAACACACCCTGGAGGAGAGAGTAGCCATGTACAAGATGGCCTTACAAAACGCCAAGACCGCAGGGGAGACGTCCAAAGCCCGGAGGTACGATCGCGGCCTGAAGGTGAGTAATACTGTCTGAGGATGTTGGTTCAAAGTGCAGAGTAAAAGCAACATTTCCATTATGAATTATTATTATTATTAGTCATTGTTAAAATATGGGATGAGTTATAAACATGTTACACAGATTTGTTGGTACAATTATCTAATCAGGCAGCTGTTACAAAGGGTTTATAAGTTGTAACTGATGCTGCTTTTATTATGAATAAATAATGTATCATTATTTATATAGATCCGTTATAAGACATTAACAAGAACATAAACTATTCTTTCTTAATAAGCCATCAAGTCAGCACTTATAAATGTTGACAAGTCATTAATAAAGTGTTTTCATTGCTTCAATCACCAGCATAACACCATCTAATATGATAATCAACATGTCATTTCAATGTTTAATCATCTTACTGTGATTTATCTCTGTCGAGGAGGTTTTATCGTAAAAACTATTAATTTTATTTAAGAGTTCCACTCTGTGATTCCCAAACTTAAGTTTATTCTGTGTATTCAACGAAATAAAAGCAGTATTTTAGGTGAAAATGAATTCCTCAATGAGCAATATGTAATGTTAATAATATATAATTTATAGGATCAATCAAAACGCTCAAAAGCTACAGATTTGTAGGAACACAGTCTGTTGGTATTCACATATCTGATCACACTGTTGGCTCATTAAAAGAAGACGTCATGCTGTTTGTCATCTTCTAAATCAATCCTCAAAACTCATTATTGAAGACATTTACTCATTTTCCTCTTTCGTTGTTTATAACTATATATATTGTACATCCTTTAGAGATGTTACTGATTGTTAATGTTACTCTCCACAGACTCTGGAGACGATGTTAGCTGCTGTGAAAAAAGGGAGACCCGTGAACGAGGCAGAGATCCCTCCTCCTGTTGCCACCGGAGCCCCGAGTGACGCCTCTCGTCCTGCTGCTCCCCAACGACCCCCTCCTCCTGTACCCTCACCTCCTGAATCCAGTCCTTCAGATCAGCCTGCTGTACCAGAGATCGTCACACCCAGCAGTGAAGAAGAGCAGTCGTCTTCCTCCTCCCTGCCCGCTCTGAGCAGCGTCCCATCTCCAGAGGAACCTGCCGACCAGGCTCAAACAGAGGGTCCGTTGTCCGAGTCTACTGAGTGTCTACATTATCACTATAACTTACAAACTACACAGACACTCAAAAATGTACCTCTGGGATGTGTAACTGTGACATTTGGTACCCTACATGATGTTTTTATTCAATTTACAAAGACTAAAACAAGGTATCAAAGGTGGCTTAAAGATGTAGATGCTGCCATATAAA